CGCCCGGCCGGGCCCGGGAGGCCAGCATTATGAGCATCATTTGCGGCTCGTTTCTCCGTTCCAGGGCAAGCCGAAACACTCTTTTTCATGCCCGAACAGGAGGGCTTTCGTGAATGTCTGGAGCCAAACTTCAATCTGAATCCGTGTCACAGCACTCTCCATCAGAACGAAAGTTAAGACAGGATGGATTCGGAATCTCCTGGCTCGCTTTGCAATGGCTGGGCTGCAAGCTCTTCGCACATCGAAGCGAGGTTCCTTGGAAGGCACTCCATAGCCGACTGACACAACTGCTCAAGCCCTTGATACACGCTCAGAGTCAAGCAGGGCAGCGGAGCCAGTCTCGAAGACAAGCGCAAGAGCCACAGCGAGGCAAACACCCACACGAGAAACGAAAAGCCTACAATGTTACAACTTAAACTGCCCTGTACTGTGGTCTCAGGCCCGATGGCCCCCCGTTTTGGTCACACAAGCGACTCGTGCAAAAAGATGTAAGAAAGTCGACAAACAACAGAATCTAAACGAAAGCCAAGAGTCTGCACCCGTCTCTGTTTGATGCGCCGCATGGTTTTGGCGTAAGCTGGACAGTCCTGGCACGCTCAAGTTGCAGCATCAAGAGGAACCTAAAAGGGCGGGTCATGTCTTTGCAATGCACATCCACAAAGTATGCAACAGTCAAAGTCCCAGGGGCCGACGGTGCCGCTTCCTTCACCTTCAGCTGAAGCCTCCTCCCTAGACAAGTGTCTGACCGGGATGCACTCCTCCGCTCAAGACTAAGACGACCAAGAACCCCAATGCTCAGCCTGGCGGTTTTTGTGCTTTCTGTCGGTCCTGATACTGGAGTCCAGCCGTCATCGTGAGAAGATGCCGGAGAGTTGGTTGAACTTTAACCTTGCGAGCCTTCAATCTCTGTCTCTTTCCACGCCCCTTCCCGCTTACCTCCCCCGAGAAGCTGATGTACTTGCCGATCGGATCTGCCAGCTTTACCTTGCCCTTGTCAACGAGAGTAAGGAAGGCTGCAGCCACCAGCGGCTTTGTGCAGCCATGCAGGCGGCAGAGCGTGCGGAGTCCAAAGGGCTGCTTCGCGCGCACGTTCGCAAAGCCGTCAGAGTGTGCCAGCACGCACCTGCCTCTTCGCCTTGGCAATGTGCCCGTCTCGTAACTGCCATGAGCTAGACACCATCCACTTTGGGTCCCAACCCATAGGCAAGGAGTGAGACGGCGAGAAACAGAGAAAGAAAGAGAAAGAGAGAGAG